CTGAAATCATTTGTTTGCTTCTCTTCCTTACTGTCTTAGTAGTGCTGCTATAACAGAAATACCACAAGTGGATGACTTAAAGAGAAATTTATTCTCTCACAGTCTAGGAGGCTAGAAGTCCAAATTCAGGGTGCCAGCTCCAGGGGAAGGCTTTCTCTCTCTGTCGGCTCTGGGGGAGGGTTCTTGTCCTCAATCTTCCCCTAGTCTAGGAGCTTCTCGGTGCAGGGACCCGGGGTCCAGAGGACATGCTCTGCTCCTGGCTCTTCTTGCTTGGTGATATTGAGGTCTCTCTCCTCTCTGCTAGCTTTTCTCTTGTATATCTCAAAAGAGATTGACTCAAGTTACAACCTTATCCTTTAGATTGAGTCCTGCCTCATTAACATAACTGCCTCTAATCCAGCCTCATTAACATCATAGAGGTAATCACATCAGATCATGAAATGGAGGACAATCACACAATACTGGCAATCATGGCCTAGCCAGGTTGACACACATTTTGGGGGACACAGTTCAATACATAACACTCTCCTTTTAGAGCCTCAAGAGGAAAGACTATGCATATTTATACCCCAGTGTCTAGCACAGTGTCTGGCACATAATAGGTCCTCAATACATATTGAATTGAACTAAATGCCTCCCTATTGCTTATAGTCCATCAAGTCTACACTCCCCTGGCCAACAGTACACCCTCCATAGTATGGGCCAACCTACTGATTCAATCTTACTTTCTTTGCTTTCTAGCACAAATCTATTACATGCTCATTTCCTCTTCTGTAGCATAGTACAGTGGTTTTCTCTTCTGTAGTATAGTATAGTGGTTAAGAACATAGGCTCTGGAATCAGATCTGGAGTCAGCGGAGTTGGGTTCAGATCCCAGCTTAGGGTAACACTATTGGGCCATTTACATTAACCTCTCCAAGTGACAGTTTCTTCATCTGTAAAACAGGTATCACAGTGCCTATTTCTTAGGCGGTTATGAGGATTATTTGAGAACATGCCTGTATAGTACTTAGCATAGTCACCTGGCAGGAAGTGAGCACTCAGAGAAGTTGGATATTATTATTATACATTATTCATTCAGCATTAAATCCCTACCTAACAGAAAGTTGAATATGACACTCTCCCTGGCCTCAGGGAGCTCTCAGTCTAGTGAGACACAGGTGTGGCTAAAGATAACCAACGTACAGTATTATGTTGTTGTGGACCCTCTAAAGTAGGCCGACAACAACAACAAAACTCATTGCTGTCGAGTCAATTTCGACTCATAGAAACCTTATAGGACAGAGTAGAACTGCACCATAGGGTTTCCAAGGAGCAGCTGGTGGGTTCGAACTGTCGACCTTTTGGTTAGCAGCCAAGCTCTTAACCACCAGGGCTCCAGAGTAGGCCAAAGAATATCTAAACTGCCAAGCACCTCGATTCAGATAGGCAGGAAAATGTCTAAGGACTACTTGAACGTTTCTCTCATGAATCACAAGATAACAAATCTGTGTTAAAATCCATACATGACAAAGGGACACCCATCATCTTTATCAGGGAGTCATATCGAGAAATACTTGAAAAATCATCTCACTTCTCTAGTCTTGTATAGATTACTTAAAATGCTTTCTACTATTCTCCTGGACTCTAGTTTTTCTCCACTCCAACTTACTCTATCTAGTGTTGCCCAGTTAATCTTCTTAGCTGTGTGATCTTGCGCATGTCCCCTAACTTCTCAGGACCTCAGTTTCCTCATCTGCAAAATGAGCGAGCTGTGCTAGATTAGTGCTTTTTCATTGTTACTTCAGAGGTGGCTCAGGTGCCTCAGGTGCCACTTAGCAGATTGGGAAGATGATGTCTGGAGGCTGAGCTGGCAGGCTTCAGTGTACCTCCTTCAAACACAGCAGCCCTACTTTTTTTTACCCCTTTTAGAAATTGTGGACCTGCCTAAATTTGGCTTGGAAAAAAAGTTCTGCTACTACAGAAAGGTTAAGTACTATTATACTTTCATGATTTTCAAGGGTCTTTCTACTTTCCCCAAACTAGGATTTTTTAAAAATCTCCTGTCTTGGTTATCTAGTGCTACTATAAGAGAAATACCACAAGTGGATGGCTTTAACAAAGAGAAATGTATTCTCTCACAGTCTAGGAGGCTAGAAATCCTAATTCAGAGTGCCAGCTCTGGGGAAGGCTTTCTCTCTGTGTTGGTTCTGGAGGAAGGTCCTTGTCATCTATCTTCCCTTGGTCTGGGAGCTTCTCCACACAGGAACCCTTGGTCCAAAGGACATGCTCTGCTCCCGGTGCTGCTTTCTTGGTGGCATGAGGTCCCCATGTCTCTCTGCTTGCTTCTCTCTTTTATATCTGAAAAGAGATTGGCTTAAATTGTAGATTAATCTTGTAGATTGAGTTTATGTAACTGCTCCTAATCCCATCTCATCTACATTGTAGAGATAGGATTTACAGCACATAGGGAAACCACATCAGATGACAAAATGGTGGACAATCATATAATACTGGGAATCATGACCTAGACAAATTGACGGATATTTTGGGGGGACACAAATCAATCCATGATGTTTCCCATACATGATAGAGATTTAACGTGATAAAGTGTTTACACAGAGAAACATAATAAGCAACTAGTTTTTAATATTATTTTAACCACTTTTTTAAAATGTTGGTATTGTCTCAAAATGAGGCAATGCAATATTTAAAATTACAATTTTGATGTGTAATATGTGGCAATGCAATACTTAAAATGACAATTCTGATGTGTAATATGCACTCTGAAAGTAATTGACAACTCTGTAAGTATTGTCATTTTGAAAGCTATAGAAAATGGCTTACAAAGTTCAGGACCAAACCCAAATTCCTCATTTTTTTCCTTTCTTAGGAAAGAAATATATGTCAGTAAAGATATGTCTTAACTCAAGCAAATGCAGAAGATGAATTATCTTTAGTCTCACAATTACTGAGTTTCCAAGTGTCCTCCAAAAGTATTATCCCCCCCCCACCCCACACCAAGGCTGACCTGAAATTTCAGTTTACTAGAGTCACTAGAGGTGCCGATGCAAACAGGTAATTTTCCAGAGCCTCATTTCCTCCTCAGCTTCTAGGGCAGTGTTGCAAAGGGAGGTCTATTTGAATCACCTGGGAAGCTTTTTGCATTCTACACTTAAGCCCCACTCCTCCTTCCTCTTGAAAGCATCGTTCTCCTTGGAGCTGCGTTCTGTCCCAAAGTAAAGGTGCTCTCCACCTTTCTAAATCCTACTCAGTTTAAGGTTGATGGAGTAGGAATAATTGAACTCAAAACACTGGCTTTGTCACAAACTGGTTGGGCAAATCAGTTAACCTTTCCTGCTTCAAGTTTTTACCGTGATTTTTGAGGTTCCTTTCCAGCTTTGAAATTCTATGACTGCATATCTTGTTTAAGAAGCCTTCATGAACTACTTCTAGCATAACCTGTCCCTTCTTTGTTTTCCTACGGCCTATGCAATACAACGTATCACCTAAGTATATACTGTTTTATATTGCCCTCTAGTTGTCTTTAATATGAAATTTGTTTTCTTCTCAACTCTAGTTTAAAATACATTTTGTTTAAAAGTTTATTTTCAGGGGAAGGCAATTTGCCTTCTACTTAAATCTCCTGGGAGAACTTGGGGCATATCCTAAGGTAATTACATAGTATATATTTATATTGATTTGTTCAGAGCAGTGATGTCTCTTCTTTCAAAGGCCTGGGATTATATTTTAGCTGCTGTCCAGTAGAAATAGAATGTGAGCCACCTATGTAATTTTCAATTTTCTAGTCAGTACATTAAAAAAGTAAAAAAAAAAAAAAAAGTAATTAATTTTAATAATATATGTCAACCAGTATACCCAGTATATTATGATTTCAACATGTAGTCAATATAAAAATTAATGAGATATTTTACATTTTTTTATTATAATTTTTTAAAATCCTATATTTTTCACTTAAACGCATCAATTCAAAATAGCCACGTTAAGGTGCTCAGTAGCTACATGTGGCTAGTTGCTACCATATTGAGCAGTGCCGTCCCGCATAATTGGACTGCTTTCCAAGCTGATCATTTAATTTTCTATTTTTATAATGTCATTGAGCACTTAATAAGTACCAGGCACTGGGCTAGCCAGAGGGGTGCAAAAATGAATACGATTCATTCTGGTAAGAGAGACAGATTTGTAAATCACTGGCTGTAATATAATGTGGTAAGTGTTATGATAGCAGGGGCGGATTAGCCAATCGGCAAGGTAAGCACGGTGCTTACCTTGCTTACACCAGATCATCTGTAGTGAACAATTTCACATGGGTTTCAAAGATGTGGTGGAACCCATGTGAAATTGTTCACTACAGATTAGTAAGTAAGCCTGTGCTCTTACCTTGCTTACTAGGTCATCCGCCCCTGTCAGGAATTGTAAATGTGATAAGAAGTTTTGATTCTGTAGGAAGGTACTCTGGGTTTGGGAGAGAGACAGATGCCAGCCATACCTAGCAGTGGAATCTTTGATGTGGTGAAAAAAGGTGAAATTGTTCACTACAGATGATCTGGTAAGCAAGGTCAGCACTGTGCTTACCTAGCCTTTTGGATAATCCACCCCTGTATGATAGAGATGTACAGGGGAAACCCTGACTTGGCGACAGTGGGAGGTGGAGGGGGGGTCAAGGAAGATTTCACAGAGGAAGTAACATTTGACCTGGGAACTTGGTGGCAAAAAAGGACGCCGCCTGTGGGGTGACCAGAGTTGCAGGTTACCAAATTATCTGGACTGAAGGCGCATTGCTGTGTGTGTGGAGGAGGGGGTGGCTTGAAGGGGAAGAGGGCGGGCGAGGATTGGCTGTGAAGAACCCGGAGCTACATCTGGTGGGCAGACGGAAGCCAGAGGTGGGGGGAGGGGGGCGCTACTTCCATTACGTCCTTGCGCGTCCAAAGCTGCATTCCACGGCTAGCGGCGCGGAGACTGGAGGCCCTGGCTCGCTGGGCTCCTCAATCTAGGGACTGACTTGCGAGGTAAGGCGCGTGCCTGACTGGCTCCTAAAGCTCGCTCGCGCGCGCTCGCTCGCTCCCCAGCGTCACCACACCCGGGCCTCAGACCCTCGAAATTTCCAAGCCCAGTGTCAGCAAAGGGAAACTGTGAAACAGCGCCTAGGGTTTTGCTTGTTTGTTTGCTTTTAATAGATGTCGACAATAGGCTGCCTAGTAAAATGAGTCTATGGAAACGGTTGCCAGGGCCGACAAAGCGCTGCTTCCGGAAGATTTTTTTTGGACGCTTTGGTAACAAAGAGCCGGCTGGACCAATGCGACGCCCCTTCCGGTTTCATTCTGTCTCGCCGAGTTCTTTACCAATGTTGCGTTTAGACCCCGGAAGTGAGGTCTTCCGGGTTCCTCCCTCTCGCAAGATGGCAGCTGCCGAAGACGAATTACTCCTGCCGCGGCTACCCGAGCTGTTCGAAACCAGCAAGCAGCTTCTGGACGAAGTGGAAGTAGCGACTGAACCCACCGGTTCCCGGATAGTCCAAGATAAGGTGTTCAAGGGACTGGACCTCCTTGAGAAGGCTGCCGAAATGTTATCGCAGCTCGATTTGTTCAGGTATGGGGGAGAGGGTAATAACGGCTGAGAACGAAGGTAATAAGGGTTACTAAGGGAGGAGCCATTGAGCCTGGGTGGAGAACTTTAAGTCTAGGAACCTTTAGTCCCTATCTCCCACTGCGATCTTGTGTGCATTGTTTACATTCTCCGCTTGTTTTCCGAAGTAGTTAATATCCCACCACTCTGCTCCCTAGTGTCGGGCTGACTGCATAGGTATTGGGTGTGAGCACTTAGCCACTTTTCATTGAAAAAACTGGCCGCTGTTCCCCTTGCCTCATTCCTTTGCCCCTTTTCCTTCCCAGCTGTCTTCTCCCCCAGGAAGCAAGGGCCACATTTGAATATCCAGCCAGGCTTCACAGCCGCCTTTTTGTTCTTTCTAGCCGAAATGAAGATTTAGAAGAGATTTCTTCCACCGACCTGAAGTACCTGTTGGTGCCAGCGTTTCAAGGAGCCCTCGCCATGAAACAAGTCAACCCCAGCAAGCGTCTAGATCATTTGCAGTGGGCTCGAGAACACTTTATAAACTACTTAACTCAGTGCCATTACTATCATGTGGCGGAGTTTCAGCTGCCTAAAACGAAGAACAACTCAGCTGAAAGTAACACTGCTAGCACTTCCATGGCCTATCCTAGCCTCGTTGCTATGGCATCTCAAAGGCAGGCTAAAATAGAGAGGTGGGTCGATAGCTGTAATTTGAAGGACACCTAATGGCAATGCCATGGGGGGGGGTGCATGTTCTTTTTTGGGAGAGGGAACAGAATGGTGCGTGTCACTCTCTTGGCTCTTACTGAGCATAGACCTTGGTGAGAGCAAACTTTTCTTACTTTTCAAGATGCCTGCGCCTTTGTTGAGGTGATCATACCTAACCAGCTGATCCCTACTGCCTTATGGTTACCAACATTAGCAATATAATATCTCGCAACCTTTTCCACGTGACAGCCTAACAATATTCTTATGGTACATTAGAGTAAATATTCCTGAAGGCCACAGTATCTTGCGGCTGTAATCCACATACAGTCCATTGATTAAGAAACTATTCTAACAAAGCATTGGGTCAGGTGTGTAACGTCCTGAGCTGATCTTAGTCCTGGCATGGCTTCATCATGTGACCTTGAACAAGTTGTTTACCCTCTCAGTTAAGAAACATTTAATGAGTGTCACAGTGTTCAGGAACTATGCTAGGGACTGGAGGTATACACTGTATGAATGTCTGTGTGAGTATGGTTGCTATGAGTATAGGTGTCCTGTATCTCGGAGGAACATACAGTCTAGTGGGAAACAAGCATAGAAACAATTTATCAGCATAAAGTGATGTGATAGATGCACAAGTTACTATGGCAGCAGACAGGAAGGACACCTAACCAAAGAGAGTGGGAAAGGGAGAAGGCTCCCTGGAAGAGGTCACTCCTGTGCTAAGGTTTTTAAGGATAAATAGGGATATTGTCTGAGGAAGAGGAAAGAAGGGTATTATCTAGCATTCATAAAGCAACAGGGCTATTAAAGAATATAGTGCTGGGATGGGGATGTGTGGGAGGGGAACAGCAACTCTGTGCAGTTAGGTGATGCTAGCATACAAAGGGGACGGTGGAGAAGGGGAAGGAATGATGCTGAAGAATGTTGTAGGGTCCAGACCAAGGAGAGCTTAGGGAAGGAGTTCAGATCCCAGCCCCACCATTTAATCACTCCAACTTTGGACAAATTACTTAATCTCTTTTCCCATCTGTAAAACTGGGATAATAATAGGTCCTTTTTCATAAAGTAGTTATGAGGATTAAAGGAGAAGTATCTGTAAAGCACTTAGCACAGTGTTTGACACATAGTAAGCACTCCAAGTCAGCTATTATTGCTGTATCTTTGTGGCTAAGAGTATGAGTTGTGGAGTTAGAGACATGGGCTTGAGTCCCAGCTTATCTGAGACTCAGGTTTCCTCATATGTGAAGTCGAAATAATGTATCTGTCTCATAAAGTTAAGAAGTATAAATGAAATAAAGCACATAAAACACCTAGCACAGTATCTGGTACATAGTAAGTATTTTGTAAATGTTAGTTAGCTATCATTATTAGGCTATGCTGAAAAGCTTAAACTTTGGTTGGTGACTGGGATCCATTAAAAGTTTTTTAAGAGAGTAGCATGGTCATATTTGCATTTCAACTAACACTATTGACAGCAGTTAGGAAATAATGTGAGGGAGATAATTAGACCTAGTTAGGTGAGTGGACTCAACTAGAAGTGATGAGAACTCAACTAGCGCAGTGGGCAGTAGGGAGGGGAGAGAGATTTATTTAGGAGGCTTGAATCTGCAGAAAACCTGGTGATCAGTTGGTTGTGGAAGATGGGGTAGAAGGAAGCAAGGAAGTAGTCCATGCTTCTGACTTAGGTGGATGGGTGTGGAATTCATTGAGATGGGGAATAGAGGAGGAAGAGTAGATCAGGTGATAGGGGAGAGCATGAATTCATTATTGAAACACGTTGAGCTTAAGGTGCCTAGGAGACATCCAAGTAGAGTTATCTGGTAGCATGAAGCTCAGAGGAGAGGCCTGGTCTAGAGAGCTGTAAGTTTGTATCGTTTATTCAAGAAATACTTAAATTGAACTGTTCCAGGCACTGGAGCTTTTATTCTGGTAGAGAAGACAGTAATAAGCTAGTAAAAATGTAGTTTCAAGTGGTAAGTGCTATGAGAAACAAAGTGTTGTTTGGGGATAGAAAGTGATGGAATGATTTTTTATGGATATGGGATGGACTTATACGAAGTGGAATTGAGCATCATGTCCTTTGTAAGAAGCTGGGGCAGCCCATAGGCATATTAACTGGTAGTTGAAACCATGAGTTTGGTATCCAAATAATTATACAAAAAAGACTGTAAATGTCATAAACTGGTAGAGAAAGATGAAGGAGTGATCACATCTTGTTGGAGGGATGAGGAAAAGGTTTCAGAACATGATGGCATTTGAGATGGGCCTTAAAGGATGGTTAAAAATAGAAATTACTGGTTTTTCTGAGTGTGAAAGTAATAATGTTCATTGTAGAAAGTTAAAAGAAAAAGACGTATTAAAAATAAGCCTTAATTCTAGCACTCAGATAATTATTAACTCTGATATATTTCCTCCCAGATACATAGTTATTTCAGTTAATAAATCTGGGATAATACCATAAATATGGTTTTTTATCTTTTTTTTTAACCTAGCATATTGTGGGCATTTCCCATGTCTTAATATAGTTTTTAAAATGTGATACTTAATGGTTACATATATTTCATCTTATAGTTGTACCTTAATACCAGTTATTTAAAATAGTCTGTTAATTCTCAAATACTTAAACTATGTATTTTTGGGTTTTTGCTATTCTGATGGATGAACAAACACCTTCAACTGCATCTCATTGTTTCCATAGGATAGAGTTCTAGAACGAGTGGTAAGGTCAAAGGGTTTAAATATTGATACATGGTAACAATGTTGCTTTCCACAGTAACAGTTTCAGAGTCTGTTCCACTGCAGTAATCTTGGGTGTTATCACTTAGAGAATCCAGTTGATCAAGCAAAAAGGTATCTCTTTGTTTTGATTTACATTTCTTTGGCTAGCAAGGTTGATCTTTGCAGTTTTTTTAAAATGTCTGATGGGTAGAGATATAAATACTATATTTATGCTAATGATTCCCCCATTTATATCACTAGCCTAGACCCCTCCTGAGCTTCAGATTCATACTTCCAACACCCTGCATAGGTATTTCACAGACATCTCAAACTTAACATGCTTTAAATTTAGCCCTTGATTTTTTTTAACCCCCAAATCTGCCCCCATGCTCAAGTCTTCACCATCTCAGTTAATCCTACCACCATTCAGCCAGGTATTTAAGCCAGAAACCTAAGAGTTAGCTTCGGTTCCTCCCTTCTTCTGGATCCCCACATCCATTCCAACATCAAGGTCTGTCAATTCTAACTATAAAATGTATCTTATATCCTTCTGTTTCTTTCCATTTCCACTCTCATACCTTAATCTAGGCTACCGGTGTTTCTCATCCGAAATAGCCAAACTACTAACTACAAGGCCTTGCATAATCTGATGCCTGCCTCTCCAGTCTCATCGTCTAACACCCCCTCCCCTTTGTTCACTAGATTCTAGCCACAATGGCCTTTCAATTTCTTTGAAACAGACCTAGCTCCTTCCCTCTACAGGGTCTTTGTACATGCTGTCCCTTCTCTGTGGAATGCTCTTCACATGGCTAATTCTTTATTCTTTAGGTCTCAACTTAAATGTCACTCCTCAGAGAGGCCTTTCCAGATCAGTCTCTTTAAGTAGTTAACATCTGTCATTCTGTCTCTTAGCCTCATGTTTGTTTTCTTAATGGCACCTATCTCACTTGCAACTATGTCATTTATCTGTGTTTTTGGTTGTTGTCTCTCCCCTACTAGAATGTATACTCCATGAGGGTAGGAGTCATTTCTCTCTTGCTCACTGTGGTATACCTAGCACAGGACCTGGCATAAGACATATTTATTGTTGACAAGCAGGAGGAACAACACAAGCAAAATCCCAAAGACAGGGAATGGAAAACAGTCCGGTTTGACAGAAGCTAAGAGTACTGTGGTCAGAGGTCTGCATAAGGAAGCGATGTATAAGATGTTGAAAAGGAAGAGAGGCAGAAAGACAAGTTAGCATGTTATAATAGTATTTAAACAAGGATAAAGTGATAAAAATGGAGTTAACAGCTATCAGAGATACTACTTTTGCAAGAAGCGTTTATATGACTTGAAAACAAATTGTTAAGATCCTTATTTACTTTCTGTAAGTTCCCCTCCACCATGATTACTTACTGAGGCCATCCTACATAAAACACCTAAATGGTACGTCCTCTCCCTCTCAGGGAGCCCTGGTGGCGCAGTGGTTAAGAGCTACAGCTGCTAACCAAAAAGGTCGGCAGTTCGAATTCACCAGCCACTCTGGCAACCCTGTGGGGGCAGTTCTACTATGTCCTATACGGTCACTATGAGTCGGAATCGACTCAACAGCAGTGGTTTTTTGGTTTTCTCCTTCTCTCAGCCTGTTCCTTCACCTACATTATCTGTCCTCATTCCCATCTTTGAGGAGTAAGTGTGAGCCTGCTTGATTAACTGTACCTCCATTCTTTTGACAGAAATAGAGATATAAGAAGTGGGAGCTGAGTAAGTTAATAAGTCCAGGTTTGAATTTTCTGAATTTAGGTCCTAAAGTGACAACTGGATAACCTTATCCATAGACAGATGGAAAGGTGCAACTAAAACTCGTGAGACAGTTTTGGGGCTACTGCTAAAAATTTAGGAGTGTGGATTTGGTGAGTGTGGATGAGTTTGCCAAGGAAAAATAGAGAAGGGGAAGAAAAGCCAAGGATAAAACCTAGGAGACAGGTTAACAGAGAAGGAAGAGGAAGGAAAGAGCAATTAGAGGTTAAGAGAATCAACAAGGTACAGATGGAAGTACTTATAGAAGCCTGGGAAAGAGCAGATGGCTGTCCTCTGTGAAGCTTCTCCCTCCCTATCCCCCATCCCAGATACTGTAACACTTAGTTCATGTTACTATTGTGGCATAACTATTTGTCAGTCTCTAGACTTTAAACTCCTCAAAGTCAGAAACCTTGATTATTGTATCCTTGGTATTCTAATCGTATCCTTGGTGCCCAACCCAGTGATGGGATAATAGTAAATACTCGAAGGTATCTTTGGGAGGGATGGATGGAGAGCGTGATCATCAGAAAGACGGAAGGAATACAGCTTAACAGAAAAAGCATGGACTTGGAGTCAAACAGACCTGAGGTGACCAGTCCAATTTCTATTACTTAATAGATGGGGCATCATCTAGCCCCCCCCCCCCGAGCCTCAGTTTCTTCATCCGCTAACAGTGTCTGTATTACATCACCACTTACAAAGCACTTTCATGTGTACTATTTCATTTGATTTTCTTAACCCCGTGAAGCTGACGTTCTAATCCCCATATAAGAGGTAAGGAAACGGGCTCTGAGAATTGGCTTGCCCAAAGTTACATAGCTAATAAGCGGCCAGGGTAGGATTTAAATCTAGATCTTCAAATTCCCAGTTCTAGTGCTGTTTCCAGTATAGCACAGAGAAGAGGAGAGTGGTAATTTGAAAGGGTAGAAAATGGGTTGAGGGAAAGTATTCTAGGACAGGAGAAAGAGGTATCATCAGAGTGAAAAACTCTAGCTGCTAATGACAGGGAGGATAAAGAGTGAGGCCTGGAAGAATATGTGTGGGGACTGGATTGATAGCAAAAGTGAAAGAAATGGTAAAGACATGGCCTTGGAAATGCCTTGGTAAAGACAGCATTAGCTCCTTAAGTATAAGAGTATAGGAGGCAGAGTGAAGCTATAGAGATTTTAAGCTGAAGAAGGAAATTGAATTCTGCATTGGCTGACCATGTGGTAAGAGTGATGGTGGCATGGAGTCTACAAAAGATAGACAAAAGCATAGGTGAGCAAGAGTGACTGCTCAGCTGTAGTTTGGTAACATGGATTTGTAGTTGACCCAAATTTGTGATTCATTAGCTCTCTTCAGCAACTGGGGAACAGGAAAAGGGAATGGTGAACATTGCCTAGAGTCAGAAGGGTCACAGAGACAGAGTGATAGGGAGTGTTTCCATGTAATGGTTCACCATGGAGAGTCAAGAACAGTGGTGAAGGTCTGTTGTATGCCGTCGAGTCGATTCTGACTCATAGCGACCCTACATGACAGAGTACAACTGCCCAATAGGGTTTCCTGGGCTTTTATCTTTATGGGAGCAGATCATCAGGTCTTTTCTCCTGCGGAGCAGCTGGTGGGTTCAAACCACCGACCTTTCAGTTAGCAACCAGGTGCTTAACCACTGCATTACCAGGGCTCCTTGATGAAGGTCTGGGACAGTGGTTTTTAATCTGTTCCTTGGAGCCCTAAGATTCTATCACAGTGCCTGGATAAAGGGTGTTGGGAGACCTCCTCCAGTTTAACCAAGTCGGTTTTGTGTTCTTATGCTAAGACAAAAAGGTTTAAAAAACACTGGCCTAATAGAACAGGAGTTTAGGAACTGAAAGTCTGAACAATGACAAAGAGCAAAGTTAGTATGAGCAAGGAAGTAGTAAAGAAGGGAAGACCACAGAGTGCAGTTAGACCATATGCCTGCAGAGAATAGGAAAAGAAGCAAATGAACCTTATTCAGAGGACCACTAGACTAACCCAGAGCTTACCCTGGGTTATATACATCCTAAGGCTCTAGTATTTTTTTTTTCCTTCCTGTGATTAGATACATATAGGACAGAGAGTGAGGGTAGGAGTGGTACCAGGATTACATGTTATCAAGTATTATCTCTAATAGAATTCATGAACTAGGAATTAACCTTTGTAGTGTTTTACTCAGGAGGATACCTGGGATGATGGTGTGATGGTTATTTGTAACATTATATAGAATGCTCACTTGTTGGGTAAAAGGAGTAGAAGAGCCTAAAAGTTTTTGTAATAGTGTTTCTAGAGCAGTGGGTCTTGAATTTTTGTGAGTCGTGGACCCCTTTGATAATTTGATTTTTAAAAAACAACTACAATACCTCTCTCCCCAGATTTAAAAAAATGCGTACATGTAGAATTCTGTACAGAATTTCAGGGAATTAGCCCCCCCCCCCCGAACTCCATCCATGAATATCAGGTTAAGAACTCCTGACTTGGGTGAAAACCTATAGAAGGAACCTCTGATTCTCAAGGGGCTCCAGGCAAAGATATTTTGAGAAACTTCTCTTGGTGATTCTGATGTTTATTCCTGGTTAAGAACTGCTGCTCTAGAATGAATCTTGAGGAAGCTTTTCAAAGTCTAGGCATTTTCTTTGGATGGTTAGGTACTTGTCTTTAGCTATCAGAAAATCATTTATGTTGCAGAAAAGTGACTGCACTGTTGTGCACTGGGAATGGGCACAGTCTTTGAAGATCTTTTGGGAGCTAGATGCTCAGGATCAGCTTCGTGAACTTATGTAAGCAGCTTAGTCTCCTTGGTTTTTGAAATGCCTCTGGGGACCATAAACATTTAGCAGACTACATTTGGAGTGGAGTGGCTCACATTGGAGTTGATGAATAGAAGTATTTCCCATTTGTTCCAAATACCTGAAGAACTCCAGCTACCCACCACCTGAGTCCTGCAGGTCCCTCTGTTAGAGCATTGATTTGGGTATCTGCCTTCTCATAGGTAAAACCGATTTCAAAGCTTACCCAGGGTTCAATTCTTAGTCCTCTTTTATATACTTCCTAGGTGATCATATGTAGTCCCATCTCCAACCCTGGATCCTTCACTGAACTCCTAATTTATATATCCAGTAGACTGTTTGAGATCAACCCTTGGATAGACCTCTCAGAGTTAAATTTCAACACTGAACTCTTGATTCCTGACTCCTCCTCCCCCTACCCCTCACCCAACCTGTCTTCCTCCGTCTTAGTAGATGGCAACCCCATTCTGACAGTTGCTCAGGTCAAAAATCTTGGAATTTATCCTTCACTCCTTGCTTTCTTTCAAGCCCTTACTTCCAACTAATCAGCAAACCCTGTCTGTTTTATATTTTAAATACATCCACATCTTACCATCTCCATCACTACCTCTCTATTTCAAGTCACCATCTATGCCCTGAATTTTAATTGATTCCCCTGCTTTCACCCTTGCCTCCAGCCCCCCCACCCCGCACCGTCAACACTCCACACAACCACTAGCATGACCCTTATAAGAAAAAATCTTTTCATGTCACTTTTTTGCAGTCACATCACATATTCTATTCAAAAGCCTCCAGTGGCTTTCCCATCTCTGTAAGTTGTAGCCCTGGCCATCTCTCTGGCCTCATTTCCTATCACTCTTCATTCCAGCCACATTGGCCTCCTTGCTGTTTCTCAAATACGACAGGTCAGGCATTCTCCTACCCTAGGGCCTTTGTATTTGCTTTTCCCTCTTCGTAGAGAACTCTTCTAGATATTTGTCTGGCTTCCTTCCTTATTTCCTTGAAGTCTTTGCTCAAATGTCACCTCTTCAAAGAGGGCTTTCTTGACCACCTTATATGTAATAGCACCCCTACTTCTGCACCATCACTCTATCTTCTTCTTGCTTTTTGGCTTGTTCATAGCGCCTATCACTACCTGACTCATCTGTTTCTTTTTGTCTGTCTTCTCCCATTAGAATGAAAGCTTCATGAGAGCAAGGACTTTGTTTATACCCTGCTGTGTCTCTCCAGCACTGAGAACAGTGCCTGTCACACAGTAGGTACTCAGTAAATAATTGTTGAATGAATGAGTGGATGACAGGTGACATTAGAATGCATCCTGAAAAAGGCAACCAGTTGCCATTAAGTCGATTACAACTCATGGCAGTCTCATGTGTTTCAGAGTAAAACTGCGCTCCATAGGATTTTCTATGGCTGTGATCTTTTGGAAGGAGATCACCGCTCCTTTCTTCTGAGGCACCACTGGGGAATTTGAACTACCAACCTTTCAGTTAGTAGCTGAGCAGTTAACTGTTTGTGCCACCCAAGGACTTCATCCAGGGTGGTTATGAGTCTTTAACCCTTTCGTGAACCATTTATTTTCTGCTTTGAATTTTTGTTGATAACATGTGTTTTCATTAATGGAAGCATGCTGAATCATTGAGTGTGTCTGAATTTTTGGTAGGTAGTATTGGTTTGTTTTTCTTGCCCCCTCCCACAAGCCTACCCTAAGTGTTTAGTGGTACATATGAAGTACCACTAATTATACCCAGAGTCCCCATCAAGGTCTATTGGTACATATGTGTAACAAATAAAAATGTTCATAATTTCTATTTTTCCTACCAAAAATTCAGACACCTCATATAATATCCTGTAAAAACAATAATTTGCAGCACACGCCCATTTCTTCGGTTTCAGTCATAAAGGCCCCTGCCTTGCAGCAGCACGCACTGTCAGTGGCGCAGCAGCTTCCCAGTAAACCTTCAGAGGCAGAAAAAGTACTTGGTCCCTAGAAGTACCCATGAGCACGAAAGGGTTAAATTATATAAGGATGAGTCAGAAGAGCTGAGAATTTTTTTTCCAGAAGAAAAGAAGATCATTTATTAAGCCGTTTTACAAGGAATTCTGCATCAATGGGAGGTAAATGACCCCTAAGATTCTATGATTCTTTGAAAGTATAACTCTCAAATGGAAGCATGTGGGAAGCATTGTGTGATGCTAATCATCCAGCCTAGTAAGGGTTGATGTATAAACTAAGGCACTCCCATCCTTAAAGATAATGGCAGGAGTTGCTCAGACTAGGTTACTTCTATATTTTTCTAGCTTTAGAATATATTTCTCAGCCCCTCCTGGTCCCTTTCTTTCCTTGTAGTCTGAGGGAACTACCTCGTGGCAAGCTCTAGGGTATAGAATCCATATTCCTGAAATCAACATGCTTATTACCTGGTAATTTGAAAAGGTAAAACCTTATTATGGCCTTTTGAAGGAATACTTCTTTATTTTTAAGTACATGGGTAATGCTTTTCTGTGGAACAGATACAAGCAGAAGAAGGAGATGGAGCATAGATTGTCTGCACTGAAATCTGCTGTGGAAAGTGGTCAAGCAGATGATGAGCGTGTTCGTGAATATTATCTCCTTCACCTTCGGAGGTGGATTGGTATCAGCTTGGAAGAGATTGAGAGCATTGACCAAGAGTTAAAGATCCTGAGAGAAAAAGACTCCTCAAAAGAGGTAAGCCTCATTACTGCCCATATACCTCAAAAAGTTACTGTCACAAGATTTGAATATTCCACAGAAGAGTAATCAAATTAAAATTCTTTTAAGATTCCATAAAATTATTGTTCTTACTAAGATTAATGGAGGAAAGCTGAAGGTCCAGTAGGATAGGTTTCTCTTTAGTTTATAGTAGTAGTTCCCAGTTCTTTCTAACCTGTAATACACTTCTAGTCACTTGTGTTTTTGTGACATGCCACGAGAGAGGGAGACTTCTCTGAAATAAAAATTGGTTTTGGCTGTGGGAAGTCATGACTTGTGGTTGACTATAATAAACAAAGAGGAGAAATAAGATGGGAAAGGAGAAGAAAAATGAAACTGTCAGAGAGAGAGAAGAGACTAGAATGAAAAAGATAAAACAAAAGGTCAAGGAATATGTTTAGGTTAAGGGAGGAATCAGAATTTAACTTTACACAGTGAATTAATTACTCACACACTTTTAAATCACCCAAGTATGAGACACAGCAACGACATCTCTGTGCACAAAATGTCGGGTATACTGGTAAAGAAAACCTGGTGTAACATAGTTTTGGCTGTTTTTCAATATCATTACCCTGTTCAGAACAATAATAGGCTCTACTGCCACTTGCTTTTTGGTTCAAGATGCAATATAAATTGAGTTGAATTTATCAGCTGGTCACAGGCATTTATTTAAGTCCTCTGAGAAACACCTTCCTAATTTGATTTGTACTAATTAAATTAGCCCAGGAGCTCTTGCCTCAGGGTAACATCGACCTAGTTCCTCCCTGTTAAAGGATCAAAGAATGAAGCATTATTATTCTAATACCATAAGGCCTCTTGAGCATAACTAGAGTGGTTTTCAAGCATTTTGAGGCTGGAACCTTCTGGATCCTTCCCTCCCCCCCCCCTTTTGTAAATGCTCTCTCATGCGGTATTGGGGTTGGCTCTGAAAGTGATGGAGCTGGAACCAGCTAAACACTGTTTCCTTGACCATAGTTTTTTTTTTTTTTTTCAGGATGCCCCTAGAAAGCCAGTGTTCCCTGAAACATTTTTATACACCTCTATATGAAAACTACTAACTTATCCTTTCCGCTTATACTTAGGAACATTGTTTTCTAAAACACTCTAGGGGTTATTGACAATAACATTTTTACATTGAAAGGAGGTTTAGAAGAAGGGTTTTAATAATTCAGCGTTTCCACTGAAAGCCAGGCTGAGGAAAGGTGCTTCAAATTCAGCTCAAGGGATTTATATGGAACATGGAAGAAGGCTGGAATCTCCTTGGGAGGAGGTATTTTAAAGCCAAGTAATTTTGTACATGTGGTGAGATAGTTGCTGTAGGAACTTTCTCTTTCTCTGTTTTTAAGGAAGGTACCCAGGCCTTCTCAGGAGAGTTAAGCAACTTCCACCATTAGTATTTTGCTGTTTCTTAGAGATTGATAAATAGGGAGTGAGTGAAATTTAAATCAAGGGCTTTTCAAGTTCTTGAAGACTTAAGAGTCTGCATAGTGGGATGGGCAAAATGGCCAATGCATCTCTGATTGTTTCTTTTTTAGGCATCAACTTCTTACTCATCACGTCGCGACAGGCCGCCAATGAAACCCTTCGTTCTCACTCGGGACATGGCCCAAGCCAAGTAGGTAGTACTTGAAAGGAAAGTAGGTTGCCTTCGTAGGCCCCCTGCTTTTATAGTTTGATTACAATGCATTAATAACAGACAGAATGGGTGTTGTTGAAAAGTCATGGTTTCACCTATGGAGGCTCTTTTTTCATCAGTGAGATAATGTTGTCTGTCCTGATGCTTTCTCTGTGTCTTTCTTGATCAGACATTTCCCTCTCAAACTCAAGCTTAAAAATAGGCTCAAAAGGAAACAAAAATTAATAAAACAGAAAGAAAGGAACAATCTAATGGGGAATTGTATACTTAACTTTTTTTTCCCCATTATTAACTCCCTTCCCGCATTCAACTACAATTCTCAAAGGACATATTTGCCTACCTAGAATTTAATTCTAAGCTCTTAAGATACTTTTCCATAGGGTGGCAGGAGAGTCTCTTTCCTCTTTTTACCTTTCAGACTCAGTAACCATAAATACCCCTTCCACAGTGTCGTCACTGCTCTGTGGGTCATTAACCTCTGGGATTGCTTATTGGGAGATGATCCTGGACTATTTATCTTCTTCTTAAAGCTCTTGGCTTTAATGCCCATTTCTGGATGCCACTTTTTACATACCCTTACAGAAGTTTGTACAACTCTTCAGGAGATAGCTGGGTAGGGGAATGAGAATAAAACAGACCCAGGCTTTGTTGCTAAAGAGAAGAGGCATTTTAATTGTGCTGTATATGTTTAAGTTTCTAAATGCAGTATGACTCTTGCAGGGTATTTGGAGCTGGTTATCCAAGCCTGGCAACTATGACAGTGAATGACTGGTATGATCAGCGTCGGAAATATGGAGCATTACCAGATCCGGGAATAGCCAAGACAACACCAGGTATAAAGGGGTGGTAGGAAGGTAGTCTCTTACTCCCTAGCAATTAAATTCATACTAAGTGTTATTGTGCTTTAGGAGCAAAAGTATTCTGGGCAAAAATCATGAGTGATAGATTCTAGGTAGTATTGTGTTTATTATTAAAATATATAGCAGAAAATTCTGGGAAGATGGGATAGTGGCAACATGGCTTTTGGATCTCCAAATCCCCACGAAAAAACAGAGCAGCTAGATAGCATAACCAAAATCCATGGACAGCAGTCCCGTTTCTGGTAATGGCAGAGTAGCTTGTATCAGACCAACCCCTCTGACAGGTAGCAATTACAAACTGAACAAAATACCTGAAAGCACTGGAGAGTGACCAAAAACAGGCATAAATGGGAAGGCAGTCAATACTTAGAAGAAGGGAATGGCGCTTGGAACTCCTCAAGAGCAAGGACTTTGACTTATATCTTTGGTGCCCAACCTGGTAATTGGATGATAGTTGGTACTTATAGGTATCTTTGGAAGGGACAGATGGAGAGAGTGGTCATCAGAAAGATAGAAACAATATGGTGTAGCAGAAAAAGCTTAAATTTTGGAGTCAAACAGATGTGGTTGACCAACTTCTACCATTTAATAGGGCATTATCTAGCCCCTCTAAGCCTGAATTTCCTTATCACATGTATTATTTCATTTGATCCTCTTAACAACCCCATGAAGCAGACATTCTTTTCCACATTTTAGGATGAGGAAATGGGTGATGAGAATTGATTTGCCCAAAGTTACATAGCTAGAAAATGGCCAGGCTAGGATTTAAATTCAGATCTTCAAATTCCCAGTTCTAGTGCTGTTTCCACTATAGTACAGAAAAGAGAAGAAGAGTAATTTGAAAGCGTTTTCCGTTTTTTACAGTTTTTCACCTGTGGGTAGGCTGTAGTTGCTATGATTGGGTATAGCTAAAACTTGTATGGAAACTTGCAGTCTTATTGGTTGAGAAATCAGAGAACTGAGTTCAGGGTGACTATAGCAGCCAAAAAGTGAGGGAAGATAGCCTAGAAAGGAGAGAAACACAGGGGGAGCCCTAATTCTGTATTTAAACTCCACCCAAATCTCTGGCTGACCCCGAAACTGTGCATGCAAAGGATAGACTCGAAGGCTAAAATAACTGAATGGAGCATTCATCTGCTGCTCAGTGCAAGGGAGACGGAATTTAGAGTTTTGGTTCTAGTCTAGTTAACTGCTTGCTAAAACAAACAAACAAATAAAACAATATTCTTTAGAAGAACAAAACAGAATCCAGAATCTGTATAGCATTTCATTTTCAGTGTCCAGGATTCAATCCTAAATTACTGTTGTTAGTGGCCATTGAGTCAATTCCAACTCATGACAACCCCATGTGTGCAGAGTAGAACTGCTCCATAGGGTTTTCAAGGCTGTGACCTTTCGGAAGTGGATTGCCAGGCCAGTCTTCCAAGGCGCCTCTGGGTGGGTTTGAACTGCCAAACTTTTGGTTAGTAGTTGAGCACTTTACCATGCGTGCCATCCAGGGGCTCCTAAATTAACAGACATGAAAAAATAATAATAATGAGTCACACTTAAGAGTAAAGGCAGTCAGTGGAGACTGACCTCAAGATGACTCATGTTAGAATCAGCAGAAAAGGACTTTAAACCAACTGTCATAAAACTATGCTCTGGGACAGAACGAAAAATATACTTGTAATGAATGGAAATTTAAGAAATCTAAGCAGAGAAATAGAAACTATAAAATGTTCTAGAACTGAAAAATATAATACCTGAAATTTAAAAATCACTGGATGGGCTTAATAGATTGGGTATTACAGAAGAAAGTGTCAAGTTAACTTGAAGATAGATCAGTAGAAGTTATCCAATCTGAAAAAAGAGAAAAAGATGAGAAAAAAGTGAACAGAACCTCAGTGACCTGTGGAATAACGTAAAAAGGTCTAACATACATGCAGTTGGAGTACCAGAAGGAGAGGTAAGAGAAGGGAGCAGAGAAGTTTTTTTGGAGAAATGGTGGCTGAAAATTTCCCAAATTCTGTGAAACACAAATTTGCAGTTTCAAGAAGCTCAGCAAATCCCAAGCAGGTTAAATAAACATAGCAGAACTGCTGAAAACCGAAGATAAAGAGAAAATCTTGAAAGCAGCAGAGAAAAATTGTATATTACATATAGGAGAACAATGATGTGATTAGTTTCTTCTCATTAGAAAAACTGGGGACCAGAGACAGTGAAACAACATCTTTAAAGTGTTGAAAGAAAAAAAAATCTTTCAACCCAGAATTCTATATCCAGTGAAAACATCCTTGAAAATGAAGAAGGCATTAAGACATTTTCAAATAAACAAAAACTGGCATTATGATAAATGTTCAAGGAAGTTCTTCAGGCTGAAGGGAATGTTACCAGATGGAAACATGGATATTTAGGAAGGAAGGAAGAGCAACAGGTGAATACAAAAGACTATCTCTTCCTCCCCCCCACCTAAATTTTAAAACAACTTATGACTGCTTAAAGCAAAAATTATAATATTGTCTTAAGGAGTTTATAATGCATATAAATTGTCTTAGTTTCCTAGTGTTGCTGTAACAGAAGTACTGTAAGTGGGTGGCTTTAAAGAACACAAATTTATTTTCTCACAGTTCAAGAGGCTAGAAATCCAAAATTCAGGGTGTGACTCTTGGGAAAGGGTCGTCTTTGTCTATTTCAGCTCCTAAACCCATTGCTGTCTAGTCAAATTCCAACTCCTAGAAGACCCTATAGTAGAGTAGAACTGCCTCATAGGGTTCCCAAGGCTGTAAATCTTTACGTAAGCAGATTGCCACATCTTTCTCCCGTGGAGTGGTTGGTGGGTTTGAACCGCTGACCTTTCCTTGGACTTCTGGGCTTGTTGATGCATCTGCCTCCTTTGTCATCAGATAATGTCTGCTTTCCCCGTGTCTGTGTGCCTCTGTGTCTGTGCTTCTCTTTGTATAACTCAGAAGTGATTAGGTTTAAGATCTACTATACACCTGTATGACCTCAACTGACTGATCACATTACATTAGACTGCATTGTGGGAGGTGATTGTATTACATTAGATTAGATTGTTTTGCATCCACAGGTATAACCAAAAAAACCCCAAAACCAAACCCGTTGCCATCAAGTTGATTTGTGTCCCCCAAAAATATCTGTCAATTTGGCTAGGTCATGATTCCAAGTGTCATATGATTGTCTACCATTTTGTAATCTGATGTGATTTCCCTGTGTGTTGTAAATCCTATCACTATGATGTAATAAAATGGATTAGTGGCAGTTACATTGATGAGATCTACAAGATTAGGTAGTGTCTTAAGCCAGTCTCTTTCTTTTTTCTTGAAGAAACTACAGAAGCTTTTATTCATTTTTTAGAACATTTTAAGATGTGAAGAATTTTTGTTTTCTCCTTGTTGGTGTGGAAATACATATTTTGTTTTTTAATTGTGCTTTAAGTGAAAGTTTACAATTCAAGTCAGCTTCTCATACAAAAATTTCTACACACACCACTATGCGACCCTAGCTGTTGTCACTATACTGTGACAGCACACACCTCCTTTCCATCCCGGATTTCCCGTGTCCATTCAACCAGCCCCCATCCCCCTCTGCCCTCTCATCCCACCTCCGGACAAGAGCCGCCCACTTAGTCTCATGTATCTATCTGAGCTAAGAAGCACACTCCTCGCGAGTATCATTTTATGTCTTATACTCCAGACTAATCCTTGTCGGAAGAATTGACCTCGGGAATGGTTCCAGTTTGGGGCTGACAGAGAGTCTGGGGGCCATGTTTTCCAGGGTCCCTCCAGTCTCAGTCAAACCATTAAGTCTAGTCTTTTTACTAGAATTTGAGTTCTACACCCCAGTTTTCTACTTCTCTGTCAGGGATTCTCTGTTGTGTTCCCTATCAAGGCGCTCTGGTCTTTTTACTAGAATTTGAGTTCTGCACCCCACTTTTGTACTACTCTGTCAGGGATTCTCTGTTGTGTTCCCTATCAAGGCGCTCATTAGTGGTAGCTGGGCACCATCTAGTTCGTCTGGTCTCAGGCTGATGGAGTCTCTGGTTTATGTGGACCTTTCTGTCTCTTGGGCTAATATTTTCCTTGTGTCTTTGGTGTTCTTCATTCTCCTTTGCTCCAGGTGGGTTGGGACCAATTGATGCATCTTAGATGGCCACTCACTAGCTTTTAAGACCCTAGACACCACTCACCAAAGTGGGATGCAGAACATTTTCTTAATAAATTTTGTTATGCCAGTTGACCTAGATGTCCCCCGAAGCCGTGGTCCCTAGACCCCCGACCCTGCTACTCTGTCCTTCAAAGTGTTTGGCTGTATTCAGGAAACTTCTTAGCTTTGGTTTAGTCCAGTTGTGCTGACTTCCCCTGTAGTGTGTGCTGTCCTTCCCTTCACCTAAGATAATTCTTGTCTACTATCTAGTTAGTAAATACCCCTCTCCCTCCCTCCCCACCCTCGTAACCATCAAAGAATGTTTTCTTCTGTGTTTAAACTTTTCTTGAGTTCTTATAATAGTGGTCTTATACAGTATTTGTCCTTTTGCGACTGACTAAATTCACTCAGCATAATGCCTTCCAGATTCATCCATGTTGTTTCACAGATCCTTGTTGTTCTTTATCATTGCATAGTATTCCATTGTGTGACTATACCGTAATTTGTTTATCCCTTCGTCCGTTGATGGGCACATAGGTTGTTTCCATCTTTTTGCTATTGTGAACAGTGCTGCAGTGAACATGGGTGTGTGTATATCTATTCTTGTGATGGCTCTTATTTCTCTAGGATATATTCCAAGGAGTGGGATTGCCGGATTGTATGGTACTTCTATTTCTAGCTTTTTAAGGAGGTGCCAAATCAATTTCCAAAGTGGTTATACCGTTTTACATTCCCACTAACTGTATAAATGTTCCGGTCTCTCCACAGCCTGTGCAACATTTATTATTTTGTGTTTTTTGGATTAATGGTAGCCTTGTTGGGGTAAG